CTCTAATACGTACACCTTTCTAATACGTACACCTCTCTAATGCCTACACCTTTCTAATACATACACCTTTGTAATACGTACCCCTCTCTAATACGTACCCTTCTCTAATACGTACACCTCTCTAATACGTTCACCTTTCTAATACGTACACCTCTCTAATACGTACACCTCTCTAATACGTACACCTCTCTAATACGTACAACTCTCTAATACGTACCCTCTCTAATACGTACCTCTCTCTAATACGTACACCTCTCTAATACGTACACCTCTCTAATACGTACACCTCTCTAATACGTACACCTCTCTAATACGCACACCTTTCTAATACGTACACCTCTCTAATACGTGCAACTCTCTAATACGTACCCCTTTCTAATACGTACACCTCTCTAATACGTACACCTCTCTAATACGTACACCTCTCTAATACGGACACCTCTCTAATACGTACACCTTTCTAATACGTACACCTCTCTAATACGTACACCTCTCTAATACGTACACCTCTCTAATACGTACACCTCTCTAATACGTACACCTCTCTAATACATACACCTCTCTAATACGTACCCTCTCTAATACGTACACCTCTCTAATACGTACACCTCTCTAATACGTACACTTTTCTAATACGTACCCTCTGTAATACGTACACCTTTCTAATACGTACACCTCTCTAATACGTACACCTCTCTAATACGTACGCTCGTCTTATACGGACACCTTTCTTTTTTCGTACACATTTCATAATACGTACACCTCTCTGATACCAAAGCTTACAGTATATTGTATTTTCGGCATGCAAAACTACATGGCAATAATCCCCCTCATCTGCTTTTCAATATATCATTACTTAGGTTGGTTCGTACTCTGAACTTCAAGCAAACGACGGCGATTTCGCTGAATTTTTGCGAACTTATGCTAAAGAACATGAAGATGAACAAGGTATATACTCCATGTTGAGATAACTGAGTTTTAAAAGTCATTACAAGAATCAATAATTTGCATGTACCTATACTCTGTGATCACAATAGGAATTTTGCATATTGTTAAAACATATGTTATGTATGTTATGAAGTGTCCGTCTCTGCACTTGAGTTATCACGAAACCATGGTAACAGATTCTGTGACTGGTTGTTTAAAACTAAAGAATAAATTTTCTAAAGAGCTAGCCACAAATACTGATAACTTTTGTTTATGGATGTTAGTCACAGAGCATTTTAGCTTCGAATTGGTGGATCAATTAGACTTCCTTTAGGTTGGGTGAAAATCTGAAATTCTTGAGTCTTGCATTAATTCAAGTTTTTTTATGGGTGTCAGTCACAAAACATGTTCATTTTAACTTCGTATTTGGTCGATCATTACACTTCTTTGGGTTGGTTGGAAATTTCAAATTCTTGATTCTTGCATTCAAGTTTGAGTGTTTGGATCTATTGAAACTCTCCTAAGAACTCATGAAACCGTGATAATCTTAAACTTGGCATGGTTTTGTTGCTCTTACTGATTACCATGATTCTCTTTTTTTCAGAGGAATTTGAGTCGAGACCAAGGACGAAATCACAACTTAGTACAGCAAGTTGGGCCAACACACTAACTGCTGACGACAGAAGTCCAAGTGTTTGTTCATTAATGAGTGATTCCACCCAAGTGGCAGGGGAAGATTTCATGACTGAACGTGAAAAACGGGCCAAGGAAGACTACAAGATGATAAAGGAGGAGAAGGCTGAAACTGGGCGGGTATGCCGTTATTTTATACACAGTAATATAAAGTGTTGAAGAGATTTGTTGATGGAAATTTTGAGTGCCAGAGGGCTGATAGTTGCATTTAATAAAAATTCCACTTGAAATTTCCATCTACAAATAATTAGATATTACTGTTTTTATGTGACATCACAAGTAAGTAACATCGTTCCCACCTTGGCCTTGCAGCTCAGAAGATAGAGCAGTGTGACCAGATTTTTTTCAGCGGTCGTTACCAAAATTGTCTTCAAATTCTACTAAATTAAGAAAAATTTTACCAAATGTCGGCTTCCCAAATAATTACGTCATAATAATGCAAAAAGAACAATAGTTACGTCATCAAAGTAGAAAAAGTATGCATAAAAATGTATCTTGAAATACTTGTTGCTTTCATCGTATTGCAGTTTTTGCTAATGATAAGGCTTCATTTCTTAGGTCTGGCAGTTCAGTTCATCACTTTGAGCACGTTATTAAACAAGAAACGCACACTTTCACCAAAATGATTAATAATTAAAACGTTTAAGATTTTACCAAAATTTTACCAAAAAAAAACTCATTACCAAACTTTCTTGAAAATTCACGAAATTTTACCAAAAGTAAAACTTTTAACAAATCTGGTCACACTGAGATAGAGCATCGTTCTAGAAATGCGAAAGTCGCTGGTTCTATTCCCAGCCGTGGTCAAGTAGAATTTGCTGCTTGCCTGGCTCGACATACTCGTAAGAAGATCAATACGCCTATATACATTTACATCACGAGTAGAATCTCAAGAAAAAAATCTTATACAACATACGCTGGAGTAATAGCTGGCATCAAGCGTTCCCAACTTGACCTTGTAGCTCAGAAGTAGAGTGTCGATTGTTCTAGAAATGCGTATGGCGCGAAGCATTTATTTAAATTAACCCTATTTACATACAAAGCACGCAAAGCAATTAGCATGTTAGCTGATAAGTTAATACCAAGCCAACATGTGAACTTATCAGCTAACATATTAGAATGTTAGCTGATAAGTTAATATAAGCCCACATGTGAACTTATCAGCTAACATGCTAATTGCTTTGCGTGCTCTGTAAATCAATTCAAAGCTTTTATCCACGTACATAAATGCTGTACGTTTTGCTGTTAGCCATAAGGCTAATTTATTTGATGAGTGCCACATCTTGTGGTACGAAACTAGATAGTAATAAAGATGCCTAGGCCCTAATGAGTTATAATATTAATAAAAGTTATAATATTAATATTTATATATTAATATTTATTATATTTTAATAATAAATATTTATATATACTGAGAGGTGCAAAATTAGTATGCAGCTAATTCAAAAAAGGTTGTCCTTTAATTTGCAAAACCTTAAACTTTAAATCTTAACCTTAAACTCTAAGCGTGCAAAGCATAATGGGAGCATTATTTAATCAGTTTAGAAAGTAGATATGGGGTCCATTTCTTAGATACATAGTAAATATCTCCATACGAGAACAATTCATTTACAAATAGCTGCAACATTCAACTCTAAGCGCGCAAAGCTTAATGGGAGCACCAGTTTCAAGTTAAGGTTTAAAGTTTATAGTTTAAGGTTTTGCAAAGACAACCTTTTTTGAATTAGCTGTATATTACACTTAAATTTAAAAGTGTATATTACACTTAAACAAGGCGCATTGCATTCAGTAATGTCTAACTTGAATGCCATTGCTATTACCTTTAACTAATTTTTACGCTTGCGAGACCAATATTTGTTATATAATTTATTTTTAGGTCCGGTTTTCTGTGTTTATCTACTATTTCATATCCTGTGGTATTCCTTTCTTATTTCTCTTGTTGTTTTTCCTCGTGTGTTCCGAAATCTCATTGACCGGTTCTCGTATTTGGCTTGCTCACTGGAGTTCCTCAAACATCACTGAGAGCTCCGAACAGAACAGTTACGTTGGTATTTATGGCGCTTTGGGTATCGGTCAAGGATTCTTCTTATTCCTAGTCGCCATGACATTGGCCTACATTTGTGTAAATGGTTCGACAGTACTGAATGAGAAACTATTAGCAAATATGTTAAGACTGCCGCTCGCCTTTTTTGAGACAACACCACTTGGTCGCATCGTGAATAGATTCTCGAAAGATATTGATGTGATCGATACAATGATTCCTCGTAATTTGTCCTGGTTCTTTCAGACATCTATAGCCATCTTGGGAACTGTATTTTTGATATGTTATTCAACTCCGTTCTTCATGACAGTTCTACTGCCTCTGGCTGTGTTGTATGTGCTGATTCAGGTAAGCTCACTGAGCCCGCGAACAGCCTTCCCTGCAGCGCTGACTGAAACATAGGAGAGCCTGTTTGTAAGCTAAGTTAATCAGACTATGTGCTCATGTGTCTAGTTAACCCAATAAGTTCCACTGCGCCACAATGCGTCGTACTCCGTTCTTCATGACAGTTCTACTGCCTCTGGCTGTGTTGTGCGAACAGCCTTCCCTACAGCGCTGACTGAAACATAGGAGAGCCTGTTCGTGGGCTAATCAGACTATGTGCTATGGGAAGTTAATCAGACTATGTGCTCATGTCTCTAGTTAACCCAATAAGTTCCACTACGCCACAATGCGCCGTACTTTATTATTTTACACTGTCCAACGCGAGACGATTTTTTTCGTCAAGGGGAATAGCCAATCCGGTTCGTAGTCAAAATTACTATGAAAATTTGATTGGCTGTTAAAATTAGAATTGTAAACATGCAAAAAACATGTGGGCGTGACCACTCTACGAATATTTCACTCTTCTCTGCAGTTTTGTAGTTTGTCTTCATCATGTAGGCCTGTTTTTTTATAATTAGTAGCTTGCGGATTGCGGTATAGGCAAGAAGCGAGCGCGTGCGCTTAAAAGGGTTACCGCGGACATGTGGAGATAATAGATAGATTTAGATCGAGGACATGCCACGCCATTTTGACGCCATTTTCACGTCGTCTTTGACGTCTGCGTCCTCGATCTAAATCTGTCTAGTAGGGAATCGCATTACCAAGCTTGCGGGGAAAGGTCATTAATACTAATTGTCGTAAAACTCCAATCCTTTGCCGAGGAGCATTTCAGGCATATTTAATGCGAGCGGCTTACTTTTTTCGTTCACGAGCTGTTCCTGATTCGGAACATTTGTCGTTTAAGACTTATAACTACAGTGCCATCTAAGTAAAAATGAATACAACATCGAATGATGGGACAGATCCATACCTTGCGCCTCGAGATTTCTTGCTTGGTTCGATGCTATGTTTTGTTGCCTTCGCGGGAACAGTTGGTAACCTACTGGTTATTTTGGTAATCTTTCGCCATCGAAGTTTGCTTAAAAACAATCATTATTATGTTGTCTTTCACTTGGCAATATGCGATTTATTTGCCCTTGTGCTTTCAACAGCAGATATTTATCATGCTTTCACTGGCAGCTCGGTGATCAACTCGCTAGTGTTGTGTAAACTGTGGTATCCTACATACACGGCTTTTTACATCGCTGGGATTCTCTTCATGATTATTATATCTATTCTTCGTTTCCAAGCTGTGTCGAAGCCGTTGCAACCTGCCCTCAGCCGGTGGAAAGTGAAAGTAGTGACTATGTTGACTTACATATTTGCTACAATTTGTGTATTGCCTTATATTCTGGTATCAGAATTTAATACAAGAAGCGGGTGCGTGGAAAAATGGCCCGCAGAACAATTAAAAATTTGCTATACGTTAGTTTTGGCGGCCATACAGTATTTTATTCCAGTCGTTCTTCTATCTGTGGCGTACTGGAAAATACGTGTTGCACTTGTGAGACAAAACAAAGAAAGAAAACTATTATTTGCTTCAGCTGCAGTTTCAAATGAACAAAACCTATCAAGGTACCAAAGATGTAAGCAGCACAGAAACGCGCGCACATTTTTAGTTAGTCTTATTATAGTGGTTTGTTTTGTAGTGGCAGCTTTGCCGAGTCAGATCACTTTTATCCTAGTTGTGTGCCGCGTCATAGACTTTCCTAGTTACTATATGTGGTTTATAATTTTGCACTTTTTTGGTGTGTCTGCTGTGAATCCTTTTATGTACGGATCCTTGGACAGAAAGCTTTTCTCTTCGTTTATAAAACGCCTGAGAAGAAAAAAAAGGGAACAGTCGGTGCCAGTGTAGATAGAAAGGGTAACATAAAGCTGTGCCGGGTGTGAAGGATATATACAAAACTAATATTATTCAGAAAAAAGTCTGCATGAATAGTGAATGCTCTTCACTATCTATTTAAACTGTATATATATCGAATCAATTTCAATTCCAACCTCGTACCAAGGAGGACAGAAGGAGAGACCCTGGGAACGAGGTTGTTTCGATTCACCTTCAACAGTATATTTGAAATAACATTAGCAATACCAAATATGGTATGACAGTTTTGACATGCGAACACGAGGACATGGGATTTGATATGATATATAGAGCGAGGTTCATATTATAAAACAGGGTTAGTTTCAATGAAATAATTATCTAAAAGACAAAGATATTACAGATGTCTTGTTATCGGATTACATAGCGGAGACTTGTATATATTAACGATGATTATCTACTGCGTCAGTGACAGTTTAAAACTCCATGGATGCAATACTGACGACGAATTTCTATAGTTTTTATACCGAGGATCAGCATAATTCTCGAACAATCAGTAACAAATACTTCCAATCGGATGAACGAGAGGCTTAGTTTACCAGCCGTTAACAGACGTTTGGAATATATCTTGTTAATGTTTGTCATTTGTTTTGCATGACTAAGTATATTTGAATATAACATAAGCGTGCAGTAATTGTTTAGGTGAATTAGTTTAACAAAAACAGGTAGTTGCATGAACAACCTTGTGAAAAGCAGTTTTTACCGTGCCTAAATATCAGTAAAGGATACGGGGAATACAATTTAATTCGTCTTATTTTACAGTATTTGAAAGAACTTTTAAATAAATATATTATTAAACACTTTTTACATGCAGGCAACTGTTTCATATCTTGCTTGATTCTTGAATCTGCCATCTTGATTATTGTTGAAATGCATATATAACGCCACAAATGTTTTATGTTGACAGCAAGTGATCACTTTTTTAGCCTGGAATTCGTTTTTGGTTGCTAATTCAAATTTCAAATGGAATAAAAACACTTAAACAAATTTTGATTGTCGCTAGGTCACTTATAGAAGTAATTCAGCCTATAGGATCTTCTATCATAATTCAGCGCGTGAGGAAGATTAACCTGCAAATCAGTTGTTATATCTTTCAAGTAAAGGCCTCAGGAGCGTGGCTTGTAACACCCCCCATTCATCACGGACTCGGCAAATGTCTGCTCGAGTCGGCAAATTGTTTTGGGATATATCGGCAAATTGTTTTCGTATTCCGCGAAAGTATTCGAGTGGCTCGAAATAAAAATTTTTAGGGAAATTACGGAAATGACCCTCCCGCCACACCTCCCCCCCCCCCGCTCTCCAACAATTTTGACAAAAAATAGTAATAGCGACTGAAATGGTGTCGGCAAATGCATGTGCGATACCGTTGTTTGAGGACTGCCTTAAGCTCAGTGATTGGTTAATTTGAGATCACATTGTTTTTCCACCAATCAGATCAGTTTGTTACAGATTTTTGCACTCTTGTAACAGAATTTTGCACTGCTGTTCGAGATCAACTAAACTGAAATCCACCAATCACAGTCGAGTAATATTTTTATGTATATTATTAACTACGTTTTGTGCAACGTGTAGTTACGTCATGTAGAGTTATTATAACTAACTACAGTTAAGGATTTAACTACGGTAGTTATAATGCTAACTGCAGTTAACTTTAACTACGTTGGAACTCATCTCAATTATTTTACTCCGTCAAATGCCATACGATATTACTCGTCAAGCTAGACTATCTGCCATGAAGTCAACCTATTAAGGTGCATTGCCCCCTAGTTTATTATTTAAATTTATCGTGAACATCTGATTATTTTACTCTGTCTAAAGGCCCTGTCACACTATTTCGTATCGTACTAGCGTATGCCAGCGTATGAAAAATATCACTCATACGCCGGTATACGCTGACATACGCTAGGGGTACGCCAGGCATAGGTTGTATACGTTTCAAGCACGGTCGCATACGGTGGGATACGCTGGCATACGGCGAGGCAGAAAACTTTTTTTAAGCATGTTCAAAAATTTTGTGCGTATCGGACGTATGCTTTATACGATAAGCATACTCTAGGCACACGCTGAATACGCTAGAGGTACGCCAGATGTACGGTACTCATACGCTGGCATTTCAAAGGATTTTTGTGCGTATGAAAATTATTTCATTAATTTTCAT